TGTTCCAAAGTGGTCTGTTTTGAAGTAACATCTGACTCAAGCTTGTCAATCTTCCTCATCAACTTGTTGACTTGATACTCTTGTTCTTGTTCTAATGTTTGTTCCAACTGAATCTTTTCTTGACGCAACTTAATTTCAAAGAATGCACATCAGCTACATTCTAAATGGCATACTGATCTTACATCCTTTTTCCAACACAAAAAAGTTCATAGCCCTTAGTTACCACACATTTGCTACCCATTATTAAATTTATAAAGTATCCATGTAATTTTGCCTCTAAAAGTTCTAATTTTCTTTCCAAGCTATACTTGTAATAATAACTAAAAGGAGTTAGATACCCCACAGCAAAAATACACGATACAACATTATTACTCCTTGTGAAATTTTGGAGTCTCACAGGCTTCCTTGGGTTCAATGATGCTATTTTCTTGACACACAAGTGTCCTTTATAGGCAACAAGCACAGACCTATTCACTATGCAAAGCAATGCTAAAAATGATACACCTCTGTTGACTTAACAGTAATTTCATGATAAATTTACTGCAACACACAGAGACAAAATTTACACATTCTTCTACCACCTTAGAAAACAGAACATTGAAATGCAGTTCCCATAGAATTTGAGTAAGATGGAAGAATCAATGCTTCTTTAACAAACAAAACAAACACCACAAACAGTGAAGTATAGAGGACACATACACATCAATTAATCCTTTAACCAGACATCAAATAGATCAAAGAATGTTTACACGCTAAAAAAAAAAGAGTGCTTCCTACCTGCATAAGTTTTCTTGACAAATCATTTGTGAGAAATTCCTCCTCTTGCTCATAATTCATTGCCAAGGTTTCCTTCTCCTTCTTTAGTGACTGAATCTTTTTTAGTAAAGTGTTTGAGATAAATTCTTCCTCTTGTTCTGCTTTTGCTTGCTGTATAATGCATACAGAACCAATCTTAATATAATAAGCTTAATACCAGTAAGCAAACCCAATATACAATAAACCATGCAAAACTGACAAATGAAAAGTGCAACTATTTTGGGCTAATGAACAAAAAAAATTATGTCATTATTGCACATATGCAACTTATATCAACACTCCTATCCTTGCAGTATGCTAGGAGTTTGTCACTATGGACCTAGTTAAGTGGCCTAACTTACCATGACTTTCCTACAGCTCAGTGGTAGAGCATCCAAAATACTCACTGGAAGGTCATAGGTTTGACTCCCATTGCGAGCACAGGGGTGCTTTTTCTCTATGTATGCCTATGTCATTCATTGAATGAAAATCTCCTTTCAAAACAAATATAGTTTACAGTAAAGAATTTGTTTTAACAAGTCTTATCTCAGAGAAATGAAAATCTTAATAGCGTAAATAATCATAAATAGAAGCTGAAAACATTCCCTTTAGTGATTCAAATGTTCCTTTGGAGTATTTTTTGGAACCAGAGGTAAAGTTGATGTTCTGGTAGTTTATCAAACTTTCTGTTACCAAAAAGACTACCTACAATTCCACTGGTAAAAATAATCATGTAAAACATGACTGCAGGATCAGCATGAGTAGGATCACTTAAATGTGAATGGTCAACCCTGACTCTTTGAAAATTGTGTGGATTTTCATACTAAACAGTCTTTGAATGTATGCAATTGCTTACTATAAACAACAGACTACAGAAGTATAGCCGGGCTTAAGCCATTGAGATGACCAATTTCATTGTTCATCATCATGGTAATGAGAATTTTTAGCTCTCTTTATGACGGTAAAGCAGCTGATTCAGTTAATCTCATGAGGTTTCTGTTTATTTTTAGTAAAACCTCTTTCCAATTTAATATACTGTTACATTACTTTACTTGAAATTGACCAGGATATCCTGGTATATCCATGACTTGATATTGTAGGAAATCAGTGCTTCTAATAGACTAAATTTTGAAGCAGTAATTCACGAATTCAGGTGTCAGTGGAGAGAAAGTAAGGTAATACTTCTAAACTACTCCAGGTATTAATGTCACATAATAAATGAACATGTAAAGGTAATGGATTGTATCGCTAGGGTAAATCTAACTCCCATTAATTTTCAAGGGCTTTGATTATAACATGTAGCTTAGATTCCCTTATATTTGTCTCCAGCATACAGTATATGTGTCAATCAATTTGAAGCTTAAACCCCCCCCCCTCCACCCAGGTGGGGGGATGTCAGGCATTTGATGTCATCTGTGCCCTGGGGGAAGAGAATTTGAACCAGAAGTGTCAAGTCTTTCCAGCAGAATGCATGTGTTTTATCTTTTGATATAAAGGTGATTTAAGGTAAATAGTTCACTCTACAGAGTGAATCAGAAGAAAAGGTCTCGTTTTAAGCTTGGTCAATGAGAAGAAACTCACAATTGCTGATTTTGTCTTATCAAAAAAAATTTTAACATCAAATCAGGCACTTGGGTAGGGCATTTCAAGATAATTTTGGCCCCAGGGAGGACGAGAATTTGAATGAACCAAATTCAAATGTACAGGAAGTTGAAGAAGGGGGGAGGGGGTGGTGGTTGTGGCCATACATTCCACATTCCTTTGTTGATTTTTAGATCAAGAAATTGTGAGTGCAAATTCAATTAAATATATCTGCAAGTCAGAGAGTAACTTAACCACTAATTTTAAAATAAGGGAGTACAGGAGGTCTCATTAAGAAAAAGTATTCAAAAGTCAACATTAGGTGTAAGACATGTACTTTGCTTTTTCCACAATAAATTTACTTTGCTTAAGCAGTACACTCAAAACATTTAAAATTTTGAAAGCTATCTTAATTGAATGGTAAAAAAATGTTATAGTCATACCATACAAGATATGTCACCACTTTGAATTACTAGTTTCCAGGCCATGGCATTCTCTAAAATTAGGTCATGCAGGATTTCCCCAATATGTCAGGTCTGTTTCCAAACCTTGCCTCTACTGCAATGTAAGTCTTGTTTTAAAAGTTAATTCAGTTGTGGCAGAAGATAAAATGAACTTGTTTGCTCATTAAGTCCCTCTGAAAAGTCTGTGTAAGTATTCAAAGGTGAGTTGTCAATAAGCATTTTGTGGTGCATTTTGCAAAAATACATTTGATGGATAATAAACACACTGGCCTCCATTTGGCTTGAAAATTTACTTGTACCCAGGTCATTGGACATTTTCTGTTCATCAAAGATCACAGTTCTTTTAAGCTTAACTCTCACAAATGGACAACTTCAAGGTCTCTTTCTGAGCCAGATTGAGACTATAACAGAATTCTTGAACACGACTGGTTTTCACCAGTTTGATTTGAGCACTAATAAACACAGTATACGCATCATACTTGTGACTGACAGTGTAATCTTGAAAAAAGGATACTTCTCAAGCCAATGTAATTGGACACATCATGTGTGCACGTTGTTGTTGTGCCTTTAACTAGAGCAGATGTCTTATTACTATAAACAAAAATACTTGAAAACTTGTTTGTTTCTAAAATTTTGTCATAGATTTGATCAGTTGGTAACAGGACCTTGTGTTGTCCAATTCTGTCTGGATTTCATATCCCTGAGTAACAAATCAGACTTCACTTTGCCATCATACAATTTTGTGCAAATCAGAAAGTATAACTACTGACCATTTTGGATTCCACTCATTTCTACTACAGTTACTTAGGAAGATCTTTATATATACCAAGATAGCCGAAAAAATAAAATAAAATTAAAAAAAACCGTAACTAAAACTCAATATTTAAAACTTTGAACGGAATTGTGTTGTACCGTTGTGTACTGAGTTGTATTGCAAGGTGATGCATTTCACTGTTGACAAACTCAAGGACAAAAAAATTAGGTCCTAGGAACGTCTGCTTTAGATTGCAAGAAATTAAATCTACCGTCAATATACTAGATTATGAAACCTTCGGGTTATTGTACATATTATTTATGGAACTATTCCAGGTTTGGTATTTCAATTCGTTGCACTTCTCATTAATATCAGAATTTTTGTAGCTGCTCCCAAAATAGGTTATTTCACGGTCTATTTTCGTCACCACCAATAGCCTTAAGAAAAGCTTAATTCTATTAATAATAACATTATAGTGATCTCACCCGTGTCTGTTGTGTGCATAAAAAACGACCTATTCATTTGAAAAATAAACACCGCAGCGTGTTCAATGCAAACATGGCAAATACAAAGTATTTCGCGACCTCACAATATGGAAGTGCGGGGTGAATGGCAAACAGATGAACTTACAATTGAGACGCTCGCCTGGCGAAGAGCCCTGTTTTCCTCCTGAAGTTGTTTACAGCGCAATTTACATGTTTCCAGTTCCATTTTCAATACTCTGTTCTCCTGCTTCAAAAGGGACATGAGATTTTTTTCTCTATGAGCAACAGACGAAGTGCTTTCGTCTGCGCTCATGTCACTGTCACTAAACCCAGTGACTTCCATAGAGGAGCTCAACGAGCTCGCCATATTGGAAACACTCGATTACCACAATGCATTGCGGGTACTCTCAGATTTTTTAAAAATTATTTTTTTTATTTTATTTTAAAAACCTTAGTCATCGGTGTCATGTGAGTAGTGCGCCCTACTCTGAACGGTCACCCAGAGCTAACCTGCAGAACAGACGTATTTGTTCTTTTTCATGAACTTTAACGTAATGCAACCAAAAAGTGATAAAACGTGATCTTACTGTTACCATTCAAAAACCATACAAACGAAAACGCTAAGTGATGCGCTGGTGTAATCTGACACCACAGTTCTTAAACTTATTGAGTCAAAAGTGATTAGTTATCATGCTAAAAGTTTGGTCTGTATAGACTTTCGACGCTTTTGAAAATACTTTAACGTTGCAAACTTCGGGTCTTCATTTCCACGACGTTTAGTTCCCTTCAAAAAGATGTTTTTGAGAAATCACGATGAAAATGCGTGGGGCATTTTTTCATTGAATTTAGGGGCAGCAAATCTAAGTATACAATAACGTGTACTGTTCTTCTACTTAAGAACGTAACACACGGCTACACATGCGGTTTTTCGTCTTTCTATTCAATCATGACATGAGAGAATCCACTTCTAAACATAACCACCCAGTTTCAGTTATCTATCAAAAGTACCTTCAAGGTTGCGCTCCTCGGGAGTTACTAGAAGTGTTTGGGAACTACTATAATTAGGGAGGTTATTATTAAGTTTTTTGAAATTGTTTATGCTTGTTAGTTTATTTTGAAATCTTATACGCGTCTTGTGAGCCTAGTTTTGTTATGTGCTGCAGGACCCGGCTCACTCTTATTTTTACCACTTGAGTGATGTGTCCTTGACCGTTGTGATAGGAATTAATTCTCGTGCGATAATCGTCATCGCTAGTCATATTTGGGTTTTTTCTTGACCTTGCTTAGAATACTCAAAGGGAGGTTTTGTTTAGGTTTTGGTTCTCGAAGATTAGTTGTTGTCAAGTACTTTGTTGTTCATTTCGAATGTCCTGTAACATTGTTTTGGTTAGCATTCTAAAATTATGTTTACTCTCCCAAAGTAAGTTGTCCTGTAAGCCCAAACATGCCTATCGATAGAGCATTTAAGAACGTATACTAAGAGCTGAAGTAATAGAAGTGAGACAGTGTCTCAGAGAGTGAAATAAAGTTCCTAAACAGACGTCTCCTGGTGCCTCCCGTTTACGCGTCCGGTGTTCAAGTTAGTCTACGCCTACTGTCCAACACTTGCACAGCAGAGTAGTGCTGAGGTGAAATTAGTAGCATTGTATTCCCACCCAATAATTATCTCAGGGATTCTTCTCCTTCCGGGATTGCAAGTGATCTCTGATAATGGTTTTGGATTTTTTGTCGGCTCGCCTAATCGGATTTAAAATTCCACCTCGTTTTCGTCTATAACAGTTATCAGCATGCTCTTTGAAGGAAGAAGTCAGTCTTTTCTTGTCACTAAAAAAATCACCACCGGCCTTTGGCTTTGAATAAGATATCTGCAGAAAAGGGGAATTAACTTGTGTGTATGTGTGTGCCTTGCCTATTGTTGGTAGTTTTTCGTCACATTTGGGGCTCGGCCAAATTGTCGGTGAATTGTTTGTTAAAGTGATGTTATGTGCTCCGCCCGATATTCTTCGTTGCCATAACTCCCCGTAGCTAAACTTTCTTTCTGCTTTCCACCGTAAATTAGCAATAAAGTCTTCATGTTTATCAAAACGTGGGTCTAATAGATCCATTTTTAACTCGTCTTGAAAGAATCTGCGTGCAATTTCATTTGCATCTTCAGGATTTGTCAAGTCAATTACTTCTGCTACATCAACTTGCCGCGCTCGGTTCACTCCGGGTGATGTTATTTTACGTTGCCCAAATGATCGTTGACCCGTAGGAATACCCGAGTTGATGCGGCTGGCTCCGGCAAACGCCGAGGTTTGTCTCCTTGGCCGCCATGGATCCATTCGTGAATCTGAGAAACTTCTCGTGAGAGGTTTTATTCTGGCAGTGCCTATTCTGCGAGGTATTTTATGCGAATCTCTCATCACTGATCCTTTGTTTTCTTCAACAGTTTCCGCTTCGTGCAGCGCTGAATGAACCATTGCGAATTGATCCACTTCATCTATGTCATCTTCGTTTATCTTCAAAGCTTTGCGAAAGTCCTGTATTTTGTCATCATTTTTCTCTTCGAAGATGGAGGGGAGAAACTTGTTTCTCACCCGCGCCATGTCGGCGGTTGCACGAGGGGCAGAACTGTTCTTGTTATTGAGAAATGCTGCCATCTGACACAGACACAACAATTTCAATGCCTTAGCTTTGGTCTTGATTTACTGTTTGAAAAGTTTAAACAACCAGTGCAATTAATTATAAGGATATTAAACTGTTAACTGTAGTAAGTTTTATTCCCAAGAGCCTAAGTTCCATTATCAGTAGCTGCTGTAATAACCTCAACTAAACTTCTGCGAAAAATAGAAAATAATGGGTTCTTAAATCTCTTTTGTCTTCTCGGAAATGACATCAACAAAAGCATTCCTCGGCGTGGAATTTCAACTCAACTCACTGACTCCCTTCACAGAGCTCTCCGACCAGCCTGGCTTGTGATAGTCAGCGCTTCTGCAGCACAAGACCAGGAACTTCAGCCAAAGAAAGCATCACTGTTCGAAGGAAAACTCTTGGCTTTTTATGAAGAAAAGCAATTTCAGCACTATTCCTGTCGGCCTCGTCGGCCCGCCTTTTGGATCAATTCCTTTGTATATAGCGATTGTCATAACAATGAAAAGTTTGGACCAGTCCCTTAAAACTTTACTAAATTGGGCAATGTTTATGACAGAAGCTAAGGATAGAAAGGGAGAGAGAGAAAAAAAGAGATGTTTGTTAAATCGTTTTATACCCAGAGCGGGTTGCTAAGGTAATGTATAAAGCTCCGATCCAAGTGTCCTAGCCGCAAAGACACTGGCCAACAGTCTTCATTCGTTAGTCTTCGACTGTAAAACCTGTTATGAAATACAGCAGGCAGGTGGTAAAACACACTTACCGTATTCATTCGATCAAACGCCGTATTCCAGAGCAGAAATATTAATAAACGCCGCCCTCGAATATACGACTCAAAAAGCTTACAACAGATCGATGACTACCATGGCAATGATATACGGGTTATTGCCGGGTTGATTGTCTGAGACTTGTTCGAGTGCCTTACTCACGCATTTCGGTCCAAAAAATCGATCGAGTAATTGAGCCAGGAGGGTGCACCAAGTATATCCAGGCAGCTGGAATAAGTCGTTCAAGGCCGCTTGCACTGAAAAGTATGATGGATGGCTAAGTACCGTGGAAATTCACGAAGAAACAGCTGCTGGAAATTTGAGAGCTCCCCCCGGAAGAACTATTTTGCAGTGGACTCTTGATTTTTCGGCAGAGCTACCTACAGAGGTCATCAAAAAGTCTCTCTCAAGATGCGCGTTGAACCCCGTGGACGGGTGGCAAGGCGATATGATTCACTGCCACAAGGAAGGACAGCCTTGTAGCAGTGGACGATCATTGCTTCGATCGCGATTTCAGTCGGAAATTCTGAGTGAACCAGACTCAAATGTGAGAGCTGCAGTTCTGATGTCGAAGAAGCATATACCCGACATGACATCTTTCGGACTCGGATCATGAAGAGGATAGCGAATGAATTGAATTTTGAATACATTCCGCTCTCGAATAAACGCCGCCCTCGAATAAACGCCGTACTCGATGCTGATGCGCCGCACGAACTCTAAGAGCGAGGCTCACGAAAAGTCAGTAGGGCCCTTTCCTTTCGCGGGCCTTTCGTGGACTTAGAGTTGAGCGCTGCAATTCAGAAGTAAAAGGGGTGTCACTAAATTCTTTAAAAGCTTATTTTAGGGAGGGAGTGGGGCCACTGTGAGGATTCATAGTTGTTGTGGTAACCTGTCTGTGCTCTACTAACAAATAAGATCAATGAGAAACAGTCTTTGTGTTCGTGCTAGTATCCCTTATGGAAAATAAAAAGCAACCGGTGGGTGGGACCATCTCTCTCCAATATAAATACAATATAAGATATGAAATTCATGATAATAAAATTATATGGATCATGTGCACTAAATGTAGCAAAAGTACAATTTTCGTCTCCTAGGGTCTTTAGAGAAGCGTGATAGTTTCCTCCTCCCTACAAATAAAAAATGAACTAACCCCCTCCCCAAATGTTGATAATCGAGAAAACCTGTCCTTAAGAGGTCCAAAAGTAGTCCAAAAGTCCAATGGTCCATTGGTCCAGTCCATACTTTACTTATGTAACATGTAACATGATGTTTTTCCATCATTGTACAAAAGGCATAATCATAATCACTTCTCGGTTGCTTTCCGTTTGATTCACTGATTCGTCAGAAGATGACTTCGGCAACGTATTTGCTTGGTCGGCTCCAGCAGTATTCAGCCAGCGTAGCAGATCCTTAGCGACAGCAATTAAACCTGATCACGCACTCATGACTAAGGGCCAAGACATCTCGTCGATCTCAGACAGAGCAGTGAGAAAGATATGGCTACTAGGCAGTCGTGACTGGTGCAGTTACAAAGAATTCACCAATAAGTGCGTCTTTTTCTGCCAACATCAAGAACACCTATTATCTAATTTGACAATTTTTTATTCAAATTTGTATTTATATCAAAAACATCACTTAGGTAATGAGAAGCTACTCGTTGTGCTCAGTAGGCCGATAACACGGCTGACATGCTGATATCATCAGTCACTGTTAGAAAGAATTCTTCCATGGCACCTAAGATGCAGAAGAAAAATCCGCCTTATCTTTATATCAAAACGAAATGAAGTCAGATATAAGATCGCATTCTATCTGTATCCACGAGTAATTAATCAGCTGAAAGATATTAATTTAATAAAACGTCGGCAGCGGAAAAGTTAAACCTGCGCGGCTGAAGGACCTGGACACGGATTTGTAGATAATTGTTTCTTTGCGTGATTTTTACTTTTCCACGTTATATCCGTTTCAGTGTATGCTGCTTACAGTAAACAGAAAAATTTACAAATTGCACACATACCAAACATCGAACCCGAAGTCTTAAACAAAACTCGACGTGTTGATATCAATACAGATTTTTTCAAAAATTTGTTCCACTTGAGTTGATATCAACATCACGTAACAGAAGACATCTGTACGCAAGTCTTATCATCATAAAATGTAATAAATATAATTTACTCCCGCTTCATGCGAGACTCACCAGTGAAACATACGCAGCATATTCATAAAAAAAAAAAACTACATAAATATCGCCAATCGGTACGATTCCAATTGTTTGGTTAATAATTGTTTAAACAATTAACTCCTCACGCTTCACAACGTCACACTCTAGAACCTTTTAGTTCGTTTGTGGTCTGTTTCAGTTCAGCGTTTCTTTTCTTGAACATGGCTATTTTCTTTTCTAGCTCGACTATGTCTTTCTCCATTGCGTCTGCTTTCTTTTCAAATTTCTTCCTTTTCACGATCGCCCTGGTGATGTTTTCTTTTAGGTGCTCCACTTTCTCTACGTACTGTTTTTCACTCATAGGGGTATAATTCATTTTAATGCTGGTTCCCGCACGCTCGACTGCCCTCAACTTTTCCTGTATTCGAGCCATGGTATCTCGAGCGACCATCTCGCGTTTTTCTGCGGCAAGAATTAGCTTCTCTTTAGACTCGATGATCCGCTGCATGTTTGCAATGCTGTCCACAACTTTTTTAGCTTTCTCTCTGAGCTGTTTCACGGTATGTTCCATAGCATCCACGTCCACTTTGTTGTTCTCAAGAAAGTGTTTCATCTTTGAGTTCTCATCATAGCGCTGCAGTGCAAAATGCAATCTCTCCTTGCAGTAACTCTCCTTGGTCTCCACTTTTTCAATTTCCTTCTCGACTTCTTTTATTTCGTCGAGTATTTTTCTCTTCTTACTCAGGGCACCTTCCTCTCTTTTATTAACTTCAGCCAATTCCTCTTTCACTCGCTCTTCCCTCAAATTTTCTTTTTTAGTCGCCTCGACAACCGCATCCATTTTCGCGCGGACCGATTTGATCCCTCGAACCAGGTTTTCCCTGGGTTCTCCACGAAACGTGCAAGCCATGTTGATGAATTTGAGCAAGGCTCACAAGTCTGATGTTCCGTCACGCTGTACGCGACATTGAAATAAGTTGATATCCACTTTCTCAGCTTGAAGTATTCGCTACAGCTGACCGGTCTTAACCAATCAAATGCCTTGGTTTTGTTCTCGGCAATCATAGGATCAATTAACATCAAGAAACGGCCAGTATTTCCTTGATCATCTGTGCGATAGTTACAATTCATCTCAGTGAAAGGCTTTGAAAAACCCAACTATTTCATAAAAATATCCAAGCTGAAGACACATCCTTCATAGAGAGTGCAAGAGGACATTTGAATCAAGCTTACTTAGAAGCCAGATTTGCAAATTTCTTCATAGCAGGCATTCTCTTTCAAAGTCAATAAATAGATAACACAAACAAAATTTGAGTTTCCATTTCTATTCCTCATTTGAAGGATGGAACAGCGAGATCTGATAGTTTTTCCCCTAGGATTGTATTTCCATTATTATTTTTTCAAAATTTTTTTTATTTTTTCTAAACAGAAAGGACAATTTGTTACGAACCATTTCAATTCAATAGAATATCAACTCATAGCAAGATTCAATCGCGCAGAAAAAAATTCTAGAAGGGTAATCTTTATAGAGTCGCCTCAGCCACCACGTTAAGCCTTTGTTTACACAGTCCACGAATACTGTTTTTCGGCAATATCACAGTTTTTCACGCACCCTTAACAGTTGCACTGTAACTGTATGAGAATCTATTAAAATTGTGCGGGAAACTTGGATGCGTGTAATCCACCGGCCAACCAGTTTACGACCTAAACTGAGATACAGGACGAGCAACAATTCCGCAATGTCTTAAAAGACCCTCAAATCCTTTATTGGGTGTATTTACGGTACTCCACAATATTAACATGGACAGATATAAGATAGCTTCAGTTCGACTATTGATAAACCAAAGTGACCCGACATCTTATCTTGCTGTGCATCACGTCGCCCCACTCGACTCAAGTGATTACTCTCTAACCAAATATAGAAATTCGTCGGCTGGTATCTCTGTCAAGCTAACTGCCGTATAACAACAGCCACATCAGAGTTTCAACAATAATCAAAGAATGGACACCAATCATAGACTACTGTAATGATTCTATTTCGCGCACTCGTTCTATTCAGCGCCTCCGCTTCACTAAGTGCCCCCCTCGAATTTGTTTTTGTCATAAACACCCCTATTCTAAGAAGCGCCCATCTTGCGTAAGCACTTCAATTCCAATAATTACCACATTCTGTTCACTGATAGCACTGTTTTTCCAACAGCTCCTTGGCTGGTCGTTCTAGCGAGTAAGGCCCCAGGGATAATACGTCAGTTTCCCAGTCTTGTAGATCATTTTCAAACAAACATCAACGGTTTGTTTGGCACATTTTGGTATTTCTGTAAAAATAAGAATTAGGCCCAATAAGTGCCTTCCCTTGAGGCACCAAAAGTAAATAAATGCCCCGGGCGCTCGATCTATTCATTTCGGAAAACGAAGATTGTAAAACAGTCTTAAGAATGAAGGGGGTAAGATTCTAAAGAAAATGTGGTGATTTGTCGGTTGAGGAGTATAACAAGGTAATTTGGTTTAATCAACTGAGTGGTTGCGGTCTTGGCCACCGTGCTGTTACTGTCTTGGCCACCGTGCTGTTACTGTCTTACGACACCTGCTCAACCATTCAGATGCAAACTAAACCTTATTGCATCTTGGGTAGTTGAGTGCTCATCATCTGCTCAAGTAAGATGACAGGGGGTCACTGTTTTCAGAGAAGTTTTTGTGATTCAATGTTCAGCCAAACTATGTAAAATGAGAGGAAGTGCACAAGCTTGCAGCATCAGATAATTGTTTTGACAACTGTAAATTTGTGAACAGTCAACTTCTTTCTAAACTTTAACTCCAGTTATTCTGACTCTGAGCTTGAGCTGTCTACATCAAAGGGAGACATTCTGGACTTTTTCTTCAAACTTTCCAAAAAGTCTTTGACAAGCACTTTAGGAGGGACAATATCTGAGGAAATTCAACAAAGATGTATGGTCTGTTGCATGAATTAAAATAAAATAACTTTTAACTCTTGCTGTTACTAACTTTAATCTTTGTAAAGCTGTCTTATAACAAATGGCTATGACAATAACCACTTATAAGCATAATTAACTAATAATAGTAACAATAATAATAATAATAATAATAATAATAATAATAATGTTACCATGACATCATAATCTTTATCGATCGTATTACAATATATGAGACGTGATTAGTAAACAATTAGTCGAGTTAGTGAATGCATGTGTTTGAATATCCTCTCAAGGACTAGAGCCACAAATGTTGTTACGTAAATTCATTTTATATTGTTTTTCTTCTCAATATCCTGTTGTGTTCTAAGTACACCAAATCAGTTAGTGTTTTGTGATCTATTTTCAGTTGACCTTTTGCTTTACATGAACATAAGCGAATAAAGTGAATGAGTGCGACAATGAGTCTTTATTGAGTGTATCCGACACAAGCACAAATAATAACAAATAATTACACCTTTTATTAGGATATACCATGCAAGCACTTATTCCCTTGAAAATTGCAGATAACACTGTTAGAGAGGTAACATTGGACAATTATTAGCCCAAGGCCAAGTTATTATTGTTGAATAGTGCCCACAATGAAGCTGGAGGATTATTCAACACTATTCACTGAGCCTTCTGCAAATAATTGTTGTAAGTATAATTGTTCGGGTGCTTGAAAATTTTGTGACCAGTTTGTTTTGTTGTTGGAACTATTCTGCAAAAAAAGAATGTTTTGAAAGGTCCTAGGAAATTCACTCACGAGAATCTCTATAATCACCTCAGCAATTAAACTTATCCCAATATAACATCTTCAATGTAGCCATTTCCTCTCTTTTCTGGACTCTGTAAAGATTATCCCCCAAACAACTTGTGTTACATGAAAAAAAAACATCTTTGTCATGTTCTTGTACTCAAGAGCATGAAAATGAAGCTGAAAATTACCTCCAAGAAATTGAAGTTTTTCTTCATCTTCCACTACTTTAGCTGCAATAATAAAGAAAAGGACGAAGAAAAATTAATACAAAACATTTTGAAGAACTTTGAGAGAACTCATTTTCAAATTTTTTAGGTTAGATTATGAGGAAATTTTATTCGGTGAAAATTACTGACATCCAAGACTGCATGACAGTAATGCTGATAACACATTATCATACCTAAGAATTACTATGATTGGTTGAGAGCATTCAATCAATATACAATAGCATGTGCAGTTGACACAATAATGCAACATCTGCAGTAGATATTGTAGTCATCATGTTGAGTTCAATGTCTTCCTAGTTTTCAAGCCCTGCATTGTGTGGTGTTCTCAAACTTTTGCAACTTCAGAGAGAAACTCAAAAAGGCTAAACACTTTAAAAAGTTAGTAATACAACAGTTCTTGAATTCAGTTTCCACTGCATCAAAACTTGTGTCTGTGTTAACTGCCACTGACCTCGGTATTGATAATTCATGATATAACGCTAAATCTCATTCAATAATTGCTTATAATAATATATTTGTCACTTTGTATCTGCCTTGACTTCATTGTTTAAGCTACAAGATTGGTGGTCTAGCTCCTTTTTGACAACTAACTGTATGCCTTTATCACTTACAACTCCTTCACAAAGTAAACATTACTTACAGAGTCCCTTGTAGGTCAGTTGCTTTGAATCACTCTCTTGTTTATAAGCAGTGATGGTAAGATAGTCAATAAATAATTCCTGAAGAAAAAACAAATTTCATTGCAATTATATTTTATCTGACCAAGATATTAAGTCTCTATAAACAGCCACTAAAAAACAAGCCATAACAAAAAAAAAACCTTTTAGTAGAGCAACCAATATATGATGAAATGATCAAATAAAGAACAAGCCTTGAAAATGGTTATGAACAAGAGAAAGAGAACAATCCAGGATCTCAGATATAAGTGTTATTTGTGTACGTCCTTGGTGACCACATAAGAGATCTGTAGCTGTTACTAGTTTGAAGAAAGGCTATCTCAGTCACATAATAAACTGATTATACATGCATTTTGATTGGCTTTTACCTATGATCCACAGGAGGACAGACGCATTGATGATATCACCATCAACTTTTTTGCTTTTTATCCACATTGTCTATGGCCAGTAGATTAATAGATCACAGAAGACATCAAAATGTAGTAAAAAAAAAAAATCAGTGACACACTAAGCTGTGCCTCATGCGCCACTTTTTTTTTTTTACATAACATTATGAAATCATCTGTGATCTAATACGGAACAAAAGCACCCCAACATGGCATCTACTTTTTGAACAGAATACCTCACTTAACCATGCATCCTGAGATGTGAAAAGACCTTAAGTCTCTCATTTAAGAAGATTTTTTCTAAGCTTGAAAATTTTTTATGCACAGTTTATGGTATGATTTCTGCACAGCCCCTAGCCTGCAGTGCAGGCATCTAATTAGTGGGAGCTAACATTATAACCTTGTGATTGTTTATTGGATGGATTGCAAGTTAGAGATGGAGTTAGAGTGGATGGTGGGGGTAGTGGGTGGAAGAAGAGTGAGAAGAAACCTGCCTGAAGAAGCTGTTGAAAAGGAAAAAAACCCCTGATTAGTTTTGCATTAGTGCATTTCTGGAAATGAGCAGGTAATAAATCAACACAAGTGAAATGAAAAACTGGAAGCACTGTCTTTCGAAAAAAAAAAAAACTCACACATTGAGCCAGAACAGAACATTCCCTGCTAATGCAAATACAAGTTGATATTTGCCGCACTCTATATCCTCCAAACAACAATCTGTGAGTGTAGCTAACATTTTATATGATAAACAAAATAATACATGGTTGCTAGTGGATATGGAATTTCTCTTCTCGTGTTCAAATCGACATCTCACTCATTTGCTGCGCCCATATTGAGTTAAACACTCAAAGACAAAATTCCAGATCTATGCGCACCCATGTATTATTCCCTATTTATTATTTTTTGTAACTTGTTAGTTAATTTTGTAAAGTTCTCTAAGTCTTTTACTACTGAGGTAATAAAAAATATAATTGGCATGTTCTCGCATCTCATTTCGTGAGATGGTTGATTATACATGGGACCAGGGAGAGTAAGATTTCAGGAGAGAGATGGAGGTTTAGTTCGATTTTCGTATTTCGTGTACTTGCATGTTGTAGTTTCGCCTTATTTTAGGTGGTTGTTGAAATTTTTGAGGTGGTTGTAGATGGTTGTAGATGGTTGTAGGTGGTTTTAGGTCGTTCCATGTTTTAGTACTTACCAGAGATAGAATGTATCTTGACGAATGCATCTTTAAAAGTGGAGAGAGAATGAGTGTGCTTATACAACCAAGAACCTTCTTGGCCTTTGGCTGGTTAACCACTAACAATATCAATTACTAACTTGACTTCCATCGGCACGGACTGACGTAAATTTTCATCGATTATTGATTAAATCAACAGGATATCCCGAGAGCAATAAAGATACGCTGACAAACTGTAACATAAAAGAGAGACCTACCGTGGCTTTTGTTATTAGGAAAACTGAATCTTGACTGAAATGTGGCTGTTCCGGGGAACTTTTCATGATTGTTTTGACTCTTGCGATTGGCAATTGAGTTACCTTTCCCGCGCTGCTGTCCACGCTCGTTTTCTCCGCCATTTTGAAAGACACCAACCAAACTATGTAAACGGTCAGCGGAATCATCAAGCTCGTTCCACACTGCTTTCTTCTTCCTAAACGTTGTCGAACAGATGGAGGATCCCTCTGCAGATCCAAGTTCACCAAGCTACCAAATCTCGTCAGAATGTGAATCGAAGGTTTTAACAACTGATATCGAAGCTGAGCAAGATGCGAGGGCTCAACTTAGAGATGTATTTCTTCGTTCTATCTTTGCGTCCTGTAACAAGCCAGCTTGCTTTTCGATGCACGAGAAGACTCAAGTGGAAGCCATCTTTGTGGCTACAGACATAAACATAGAGAATTTCCAGGTATCTGAACTTCAAACTCCAATGGGAGTAGTCAATGAGGCTTTGCTGAGGTCGTCTGATGTGCTGTCATTTACAATAGACCTTGAAAAGAAATAGAATCACCTTGTTTGGAACTCAACCGCATACAACAGGAGACTGCAAGTTCTTCAGCTCTTCTTTTTCAAAGCAGTTCCATTGGTAGGCACTGTTTGGTGGAAACAAGCAATGTTTCACACGGTTGAAGGATACTTGGCTTTAGTGGTTGCTCGATCCACATTTCATTTTAAACAAGGAATATTGTGTGAACACAAGACATTCCTCCATTAGAAGGCATACAGCCTAAGAACCTAACATTTCTCGCCCTGTACTAAGTAGTGGAGCTTCTATAGATTGTCGTAGTGTTTCTAATGCATGACTTGACTACTTGGAGTCAGAAATTCAACATACATCTTTAGAAACAGAATTTGGCAAAATTTCCGCACAGCCCCATACATCATCATACATCCATATATGGGGCTTTATTTTTCAGTGTATCACCAGTAAGATGTACATGCATAATTAAGTATGGGGCTGTGCGGAAATTTTTCCCAGAATTTAAAGGAAGTGCACACTTATTGAGGTCATAAAGAGAATATCTTTTAAAAATCTATATTCTCTTATTGATGTAAAAACCATTGCCTTCAACGGACACAAAAATAGGTACATATATTTGTCTATGGAGATGATCTGTTCCGAGATGCAGACAGGCTTTCACAAAGAGGGAGTAATCTCTGATACAAATCAAGACTCCGTTATCAACCTCCTTCCTTTTCATCCCCCTCTCAAAGGACAGTCTTGTAGGGCATTTGATTTCTTTAAGGTAGTGAATATTTATTATAAAATTTATTGCATATTTAAGTTTCTTTACCATTTTGGTGGTCTCCCCGCACTCTCTCTGGTGGAGGAGAGAGCTTGTTGCATGACAAACCAAACAACAGCTGCAAAGGAGGCCACCAGTAACAGTTTGAGGACACTGGTTTGCATATTTATGCACCTGATAAACATTTTTTCGAGTCTTTTCTCAAGTTGAAGAAGATTATCACACCATATGGTTTTTCTTTGAAAATCTGTTTTTTCCCATTATTATTTTTAAAGTACCCTACTTACTTAACCTTTTACTTAAAGAATGACTTGCATCTAATTTCTCCCTACAATATCAACCCTGAATCAAACATCAATGTCACAAGAATAAAGGAAATGATCACCTACTAAACAACCTCTTGATTGTTCATCAAATTCTCTTTGTCAAGACCTTACAAGTAAAGAGAACAGTATGGAGAATATACATACTGATTTTAAGGTGTCAAGGGTTAAAGAACATTTGCACAGGAAGCCTGACTTAAGGAAGTTTACTTTTGTTAGCTTTTGTTTTGTCCTTTACCATTTTTAATAGTAACTTATGTTGCAGTTTTTTTTTTTTGGCACTGTACAACACTAGACAGTATATTTTCTATCATTTCATATATAACGACTTTATTACCTTTTCACTTTTACCAAAGCTGCAATTGCTAATTTCTTGCATCATTCATATTAAGTTTCCAACTCTCTGTGTTTGATTTTCTTGACCCTTGACATTTATAATGCAATGCTTGAAGGTCACACTTATCCAATATCTTCCTCGCTATATCATCCTATATCTGAAATATTGTAACCCTGTATGAAAGAATCGTAACTAAGGTCATCACGCCAAACACAACATCAGACAAGATGCACCTGCTCTATAGTCATCCAAAGGGTTAGGATGAGAAGTCATCACATTTTTAGTCTTTTGATCAAAGATGGCTTTAAAACCCTCTGCAGGATGGATACAAGCTCCAGGTTTAGAAGTCATTAAGTGCTTGGCAAATACATAAAAGGCCTGCCACACAAAGTAATATTACTACTTAGTTGTGAAAAACTAAGAAACCAAGAGTGTCAAGAACTTTCAGGCACTATTCCATTAACTTATGTGGTCATTAAGTCATTAAGTGCTTGGCAAATGCATAAAGGGCCTGTTAGTCAGAGTAATATTATTACTTAGTTGTAAAAAAACTAAGAAACCAAGAGTGTAAGGGACTTTCAGGCACTATTCCATTGACTTCTGTTGTTAAAGCTGCTCAAAAGTGTTGTCATCTAACTTCTGTATGCTTTTGGTGTCACTATCAATGAGTCTGCATCTATAAAACAACAAAAAAGGCCACAAAACATAAACTTCAATCAGAGTGATATTTTTACTGTGTGATTTTAATGAAAATTTCTTGCCAAGATGAAAAAGGTCCTCTCATCAAATTACCCAACGAATAGTTTTATAGGTCAGCCTGCAGTCATCAGTTTATGAGAGCAGGAAAGATGGGCAAGTGCTTCAGATCTTAACAGACCCAGCTGACATGTAAACCAATTCTTACAAAATATCTTTAACAAGGCATTTTTAGAATGTTTCAAAGATACAAGTTCCCTTGTTACTACACTTCAGTGCAACAGTATGCACAATGGAAATATGAAGCACTCCCATACAATTTACAATTTATACAACTCTGTTTCCTGGTGGGAACATTTTTTGTTCTCCATATAGTGTGTTGGTAGGGTGCCAAGCATTTAGGGAAATAGGTCAAGGTGGCTCTGAGTCATGGAATCTTGAGTCACCATCTCAGGGCATGCTGCAACAGCAGACACCACACAATGACCTGAAGCTTGTTCATCATGATCCTTAGGTGTATGGTCTCAAGAATATTTCAAGCTAGTAACAAGTTAAATATGAAACAGCCTGAAACATTTGATGATAGGTCTAATTTATGAAGTACACTTCAACCTCTACCAATGACCACCTCCCTTCAACAGCTGGACTTAATATGTCTTAAAGGATGGTATAGGATGAAAGATAAGGAGTAAAAGTAGGTGGTGTTCAAGAAGGATGATCACTTTTACCAGACTCAAGAGTCTGATGACATTGGCTACAAGGGACACCTCCATCCAGGGAACACGAACTTTGGTCCAGGAAATATATTAATTTCATCTTTATACTTGTTTTCAGTATTGAAGGGGAAAGGAACACTTATCCTGGGTCCTAAAGCCATGTTTTAACCTCCATTCAGGGGACACCTTAGCCACTCCAGAGATTCTCACCAATGTGGTAGTACAGTGTATGACATAAGAAGTTGTTTCAGTTTGGAAAGTGCACCTAATGAACTCTTTCTTTTAACTGCTTATGGCTCTTGAGTAAATTTACTGCACTTGTGGATATTTAATACATAATTATCTAGCTGTGTGAATTAGAGACTCCAGCAGATTCCAAGCCAGAATAATAAAAATATCAAAGTTATTATTTTTTTTTATGGTGAATCATTAACAAACCCCAATCCAATCTCTCTCTAAGAAACACTTTCCTGGTTCTGAGGGTTTCCCCTGAATGAAGGTTCCACTGAAACTGATATCAGTACATTCTCTGTGACTGTAAACTTACAGTGTTCCTCAATAAGGTTTGGGTATATGAGGCCCACAAAAGAGTGAATTATTCTGGAATTGCCTTTATTCTGTTCCTTATGGGAGGATAGATCATCCCAAAATTTAGAAGTTTTCTCCACATAATCTTTAGGATGAC